TTCTTTCAATTATTCCGTCAACATGAATATAATGAAAAATTGTTGAGGACTTTTTCGCTATAATTCGATGGTGATGGAATATAGTCAGAAGAATGATATTTTTCTCTCAGCGTTGGTGAAAATTTCAGCCATTTATATTGGACACAATCGGAGAAAAATGGGTTGAAAAAACAAACTTTTGCGACGCCTTCCGTTACCCCTTAACTCAACTTCAATGCCGCTCTCCTGAAAATTATAACTAAACTGTCCGAGAAATTTTAGCTATTTTTCTCTCCAAGACTTGGTAGATTGTATCTTTCTGATGTTATCATAAAATACAAAAGTCCCTGAAAATTCGGAATCGACTGGGAATTTGCGCCCGACTCGTCGGCGTGCCAGACAAGTAACTACTCAACACGCCACTACAGTGGCTCTGGTCTGACTTTGACAATAGTCCTACCGGTCTTGGGGCTCCAGGGGAACGTGATTCACTACGAGATTATTCCTTATCTGCTACATGTGCATCTCAGGCGCCGTGGCAATTTGGCACTCGCAGGGTGCAATGTTAACGTTCTGCGGTGAGCAGAGTGAAAACATGAGGAACTGTTTTTGATGCTCATGTTTTTGTCGTGTTCATTTTCAAGATAGTAGAGTTCGTCATCAGGTCGAAACAAACTATTTCGACCTAGAGACGCACACGAAAAAATTTCATAGAAAAACCTCGCGAATTCGCTAGACAGTTCTATTGGATGTCTATTGAATTTTTTATTAGTTTTTAGCTGATTCTATTGAAATGTTCAATAGAAAATATTCTGTAAAAAAAGTCAATAGAACTCGATTCTTCTGTACAACTTATTCTATTGAGATATTTTCTATAGAAATTGCTCGACTTGATTTTTTTTTCTTTGAGTTCATTTTTGTTATGAGAAGAAAAAAATTAAAGTGAAATAAAATTTAAAAAATTATATCAAGGAATTCCTATAGAAAAGGTCTTAATAGAAAAAGTTCTACAGAAAGATCAAATTCGCTTGATTTTTTTTTCTATAAACTAGTTCCTATGGGACGGAATTTTTTAATAGAATCGGCCAAAAACTTAGAGAATCCAATATAATTTTTATCGAATTCGCTACTGTTTTCTACGAAATTTCTCGTGCGTGAAAAAAAATAGATTTAGTCATGCCATTCTATAAAAAAAATGATATTCAAATTAACATGAGCTTTTGTATAAATCAGGGAACCTAATACCGTATAAACATTACGTTTTTCCGTTAAAATTGTAACTAACATTTTGAAATCGAAAAAATAGAAAAAAAAATTGTTCAAATCATTTTAAAATGATGAATCGAATACAGGAATTTCAATTGAGATTGGAAAATTGGTAAATTGAAGTGACAAAATGGTAATTGAAGGATGTAAACTAGGGAGTGTTGTCCCCAATAGTTCGTTGATAAAATTCACGCTCCCATGATACCCAAGACTTATCCCGAGACTTATCCTCAGAGAATCCAGTTGCAAATACGACACTCGTAATTTTATGTAATCGCTCAATCTCTCATTCCCCTCACCATCTGAAATTCATATCCACGAGACTAATCTAGCATTAGTGGGGTCAACCGAGATACGATGTTTTCCCAAGCATTGTCGATCAAATTATCTCCGCACTCAGCTTTCAAAACTTTCTTCCAAAGGTGTGTCTTTTCCTCGCGACATCAATAGTCTGACCTGTTTTGGGGCCATTTCGCTTGGCAGTGTCTATTCGCACGCTCTACGGTAAATTTTACCGTGGATTCACGGTAGATTCTCACTCACATCTTGTCTGACATCTCTGCTATGAACTCTGGTTTTCAACTCCGGCAGTTCAGTTGGAAACCAGAGTTGTGACAACATTGTCCAGTGGGGTCTAGGAGTCTCCCCTGGTTCAAAATCATCTTTAGAGAGGCATCAGCACGCCATTTCTCGACCCGGTCTTTCATTTGAGCCCAAAAAAACATTTTCATCACGCTGTGACGAAAAGTGAACTTTTCGGCACGCTCCGCGTGCCTAAAAATCCAATTTCCGCCACATTGTGATGAAAAATATTGTTCGAAATATACTATTATATCTTATCAGACATCGCTGCTACAAACTCTGGTTTTCAACTCGGCTTTTCAATATTGAAAACCAGATTGATTATTCTGGCGTTAGTAGTCTAAAAATAGCATATTCGCACTCCTTCCATTCGGAAGCGCTAAAAATAAGACTTAATGTATCAGTGGAAAGTTCAAACCAATTAATGAAAAAAATGAAAGCATCTGAAAATGAATTTCTCCGAATACTCCTGAGAAAATTGAGATCTTCAATTTCTGATATCCCAAGTATTTTCAACATAATTAATTATAATAAGGACAGCAAACGGTATTGTAACGATGGATCTTCACCAGTAACTACCGATTATACTGACTAGCCCACGTCATGCTCCGATTAGTTAATAGTCTGCCTCGCCATAGCCCCACTATTGCCGTTAATTGAATTAATAATGCACACTGCTCGTTAGTGAATCTATAGAACACGACGCTAATAGCTTCCATAATTATAACCTACTTCTAAAATTAGCATGCGTTTAAAGCAATTGTATACTTTTTATTTTAATGTCATGCGTCAGTCCTTCGCTGGGCAGATTGCTTTTATAATTTTTTATCCATACGAGGTTTCATCGGACGCTCCCTCTTCATAGGTGCGTCTGTCTCGTAGACAATTGCACGTATGAAAAAAATTTTACAACAAAATCTGGCGAATTCGCTGGAAAATTCTATTGGATTTCTATTGAAATTTTTACCAGTATTTGGCCGATTCTATATAATATACTTCAATCAAGTACATTTTATCCTCAATTCAGGTTTTTTTTCCGTGTAGAATTTTCAATTGAAATCTAATAGAATTTTCTAGCAAATTCGTTGGGTTTTTTCCGGAAATTTTCCCGCGCGTGGATTATTATCATTATTTTTAACATCATCATGTCGAGTTCTCTGGATCAGTGGGCAGGGAGCCTGCCTACTGATCCAGAGATCACTGGTTCGATCTCAGCCGAGGGCAGATATTGACCAGAAGAACATAGCCCACGGATTCCGTTCGGAGTCAAGAAATTCCGAAGTGTAGGCGGTACCTGTGAAGACTTCCAGACAACCACAGGGGGGGAGATCGGATCACATGCGCTTGCCTCGTATCTCAGTATTTTCTGGTGGTTTTCTCTGAGACGAGAGAAAAAGCGACGGTCAAGGCGAAAGTGGGCCCCCAGCTGCAGCGATACCATGCCTCTCGGATAATGGGTCTTTTCGGTTTAACTAGAGACTTTCAACGCCTCCCATGAAAATACAAGGGATTGCCTGGTGGTTGTGTCCAGTTCGGTGGGAGGGGTATGAGAGCGGTGGTCAACAAGCAATTTCTGATTGTGTGCGAGAGAAGCTTCATGACAATGATATTGGGTGATTGAAAAAACTTCCCCGGATGTTTGATTTTCCTTGAATTTTTTTGACAGAATGCGAGTTTTTTTTAGACATGTTGAGTATTTTTTACAATTTTCTAGACAATTTGCAAATTTCGATTATTTTTAATTGATGTTAATGTTCAATTTCAAGTCGAAATATGACGGAAATATATTCATTTGATAGAAAAAATTTGATTTATTTGTTTGAGAAAATGTTTTTAATCGAAAATCTTTATTTTTACCTGATATAGAGCAAAACATAGTGGAAAAAAAAAGAATGACTTATTTTTCAAAAAATTGTTCTATACATTAAAAATGTATAATTAAAAGAAAATGACTTCACTAGTTATTTTTGATTTCACAAAAAACAATTGATTTTCAATTTGGATTTTTCCAGAATAATATCAAGGAATACTAAAACAACTGTAATATATTTTTTTAAATTGTTTTCAACCAAAAATTTCTGTTTTCGAAAAAAAAACTTCATTTTCTTTTTTACTTCATAAAAAGAAAGTTAATTTTTAATTTCGTTTTTCGAGATATTCTCTAATCTTATTCTTATACAATTATACGTATACAACAGATGACGTTACAACAGTAAGGTGTCTATAAAAAAAATATTAAAAAATTGATTTAAAAAGATAACTTCGCTCATATGTGTTTGACTTCAAAACCACTAAGTAAATTGTTACTTTCAACTTCTCCGGTATTGTCTAGTGGTTAGGATATCTGGCTCTCACCCAGAAGGCCCGGGTTCGATTCCCGGTACCGGAAATTTTTGCATTTTTTTTATTGCTTAAACATTGTAAATAACATTATTTTTTATATCAAGCAATTTTTCAAGTGAAAATTATTGATTTTCAGTAATTTATGGGGTTTTTGTGATGTGTATGCAGGGCAGGACAACCTACCATCGCTTGGTGACGCTTAGACTCATGGAGCACATGTGTTATATAACATTAAACGTGAAAAATTTAAGAACTGAGTAATATGTATGTTTTTAATTTATTTATTGCTCGAACGCTTCGTGAAAATGATCGATATTTTCATGATTTTTTTCTTCTGATATCAGGGTATGTAGGGGTAGTGATGTCAGGAAGCAAATTGCTAATTTATTAGAAAAAATATATTTACTATGTTGTGACGAAAGAAATTTCCCACTTTTTTTATTTAGGAAAACGCGAAAACTTCCTCAAATACCTGAAAATTGTCTTAAATTTGTCATAGAATTATAGTTTTATAAAAAAGCTGAAACCATGAAAATTCAAAATAATTTATGACATCTGTCCTCAAATGGTTCCCGAATTAATTATCAATGAAAACCTCATTGAAATCTAAATGATTTTATGAATCTTTTGCGAACAAAAAACCAGCAAAAAATTTATTGTGTGTGAAAAGATACTCTCATCAATATCATTTCAATTATCGTCATCAACTTCGAAATGACCCATCATTACAGCAAAATAATTGAAGCAAAAAATATACATACTCAGACCCAATAATCACAGGTAACAATTGTACCCATTCGTTACATATTTTGCATTCTCTCATGTTGCAGGCCACGAGGAAGATATCCAAATATGGCTACCTCTTTGTCGCACCCAATTGGGATTTTTCTAATCCGCTCAATCGAACCAAAGTAAGTACCAGTTACAAATTATAGAAAATTTAGATACTGTTGAGGCATTTGAAAATTTTTGACTGAAATTTTCTGCCCAATTCTTGGAATCAATCAAATTCAATCAAATTAGAATTCCACCGAAATTGCAAAAAATTTTGTTATTGAAAATTCATAATTTAATGAAACAATCAACATAAACTATAAATTCTAATTCAATTATTCTCTGAAAATTCTGGTAAATTTATTTTTGAATTTTGAGTTGATTGAAAATGTAAGGAAACTGGCGAATTCTTGTCTCTCGCTTATTTTTCCCATAAATCACAATTTCAGTGTTATTTTTTTGATAATTACTGCTAAATTCTCCATAAAAGATCAATTTTGTCAGAGAAATAATTTATTGGAATTGAATAAACTTTATTTGAATAAAGTGAAAACTTTATTGGGAATGAATGAATAATTTATTTTATATAATCAAAAGATTTTCATTGACATAAATATGTGAATAGTGAGTTTTAATTGATTGATTTTTTTTTATCTATGCAACATTTATTTTTACAATGTATTTATGAGTGTATGAAATTTCATACATTTGAAATATGAATGATGAAAAGGAAACTTCTTGTATCGACTAAGCAATAAAAGTAGATGCTTTGAGCTGAAAATTAAGATAATTCAGGGTAATTTACGATCAATATAATTTGTTTGAAAATTTTATACATTGAAAATGAGTTATTAACATGCGTTAAAATTCGATTTCTCTAATAGAAAATATGAGATTTACAATTGAATTGAGATTTTTGGTTTGTTTGAAAATTTTACATTTCATGAGGTACAATTCCAGTCATTTTTAAAAAATATTATTAACTTTCTTATTAATTAATCAGTTGATTAATTAATTTAATTACGGAAGTTTTGGTGGATTGAAGGGTCTATTTAAATTCTTGGAAGTGGTTTTGGCCTTTATTTCGGTCGGCAGCAGTCAAAATCATCACAAGAATTTACTCAACAAATTGCACGACGATTCGAACGCTCAAGGCGCTCTTACTCAGGTGCATGTTTTATTCTATATCAACAAACCAGACATTACATTTCAATTATAAACTATTAGACTATTATTATCATAAAACAGTACAGAAAAGAAAATAATCTTAAAATTGCTATTTCCCAAATAATCAATCCATATAAGGAAACAAATCGAGAATCTATTGTGTATAATCAATGCTAGTAAACACTGATAGAGAACATAAAATGATACTGCAAATGTGGAAGACAAAACAATTGTCATCGTGTGTCAGAGCAGTATTTGAATGTGGCATAAATAATTAAAGCCCTGTGTATTTAAATTCACTTGGATATTTCAAATGGGATATTATCAATTGACGATTCTTATAAATATATGAGGTAATAGATTAGAACGCGCGACAGCGTTCTCTAGATAATAGAAAAATTTGAAAGAAAGACTTTCAAATATAGAAACAACCAAATAAATGTAAAAAATTGAATTCAAATTCGTAATTTCCCTGAGTCTGAGAAAATGATCATGAGTGATTTATCTCATGACTACGTGCTCTGAAAAGAAATGTCCCCAACATTCACTCGATTATCATCGCTAAATCATCTCTCCCCACCCAAGCAGCCTAAATTTCCCCTTCACATCACTGTTCCGTGACAGGTGTCGTGGAAATTATCAGATAATCAAGAAGCCATAATTTTCCCCTCCGATTGAAAAGTCCCTCAACGACTGAAATAAGTAAAAGGCGTGCCTAGAAATTGCATACCGATAGTTTTCTGACCAATCTCACACGCTGTGCCACGCACTCTTTCACTTTTCTCTTCTTCGAAACAAACTCGATAAACTGGTACACGAAACTATATCCTTAGATAGACTGCCAACAGTTTCAGAAATATTGCTAACCGAGTTAATAATCAGTTGAAAATAATTTATAGCAGCACTCGTATGTTTCACTTCCACCGGATGTTGGTTGCATTCTCCATTTGATCGAAATTCCATTCATCTGATATCAGCTTTCTTCTGCAGTGAAAATCCCCAAAGAATACACCCGCGAAAAATTGCGTGGAAAGCTCTATGGGAATTGGCTGGGAAATTCTATTGGATTTTCATGGAAAATTCTATTAGTTTTTCGAAGATTTGAATTGGAAAATTCCACGGCTTTACAGCGCGTTTTTTAAACAGGAAATGTCTAACAGGTACTATTTTATGCAAAAAATCAGAATTTCTTCCCTCTATACGATTTTTTCTATTGAAAATATTTTCTATAGGAATTCCTCGACATGAATTTTCCTAGATCTTACGAGTCTATTTTTCTTCTGTTCTTCATTGAAAAAATCAAGGAAAAAAATTTAGAAAATTTAAGCCGATGAATTTCTATAGAAAATATCTCAATAAAGTAAATTCTATTTAAAAAATTTATCGATTTTCTCTACAAAATATTTTCTATTGAACACTTCCATGGAAAGAGAAACACGCAGAAAAGCTGCGGAATTTTTCAATAGAATCGGCGTAAAACTAATAGACGTTGAATAGAAATCCAATAGAAATTTCTAATAAATCTTTTTCGTGCGTGTAGCCAATATCCGAATAAAATGGCCCGTTAGTGCTGCAGAATAAAACATTTTACGTTGAGGAAAAAAAAATTGATGAAGAAGGCTTTTTCACACGACCTGAGGTAACTTTCCCTTGCCGATTGCATTGCGGCGCGCGCATCAAAAAGCCAGCATCGATGGGATAATACTCCTGTCCCCAGTATATCTCCCTCCACTTTAATATCTCGCTCCATGATTACTGGGTTTCTAAAATAATATACAACACGCGATGACTTACCTCGCCAGCACCTTTACACCTATTCCATTCAATTGTCCATGGAAATGATTTATTAGAATCATCGAGACCGATCTGTGGACTTCGATTGAAAATCCACAGGTTTTTCGCGACAAGAATATCACATGCTCGAGTAGAAAGCGCTGCGTCTTCTCCCTTTTAAAGAACATACGCTAGTTTCTCCCTGACACTAGCACCAGTTATTGTGCTATGTAACTGAAACTGTTCCGATTGGCTCGTGACCGGTTTGAATAATCTGTTTTGAAATTTCGTCGGCCTTGTTAATTCGAATTAATTAATATTCTGTTTGGAATGGGACAGTTAGACGAGGGCGCATGAGGAATATACGATTATGCAGTCCATTCTCACATGGAAAAATAGTATATTTCGTAACGAGTGCAAAAAGGGTTTTTTGGCGAGTGGGAGGTTTATATCACGAGCCGAAGGCGAGTGATATAATCCCAGGAGCTAAAAAACATTTTTTCACGAGTTACGAACAATATTTTTCATCACAATGTGGCTGAAATTGGACTTTTAGGCACGCGGAGCGTGCCGAAAAGTTCACTTTTCGTCACAGCGTGATGAAAATATATATACAGAAATATATGTCACTTATATCCGCTTATATGTGGTATACTTTCCGGCAGAAAATGCAATATTTGAGATATATGTTGGATGTATGTGTGTACATATATGCCACCGGGTATACCTAGCATATACCTGGTTAGAGATGCAAATGCGTCACATGACCCGTCATATGACGGTCATGTGACGCATTGACGGTCACATGACTAGGCGTTCCTGGCGGCTGTCACAATTCCCCCTCCTCCTTCTGTGACCATCACAACTTGTCAAGAAAAAATGACAGCCATTTTTCATCTGAAACTTAATTTTTTTCTCGGTCAATTTTCAGTTGAATTCCTTTTGTATTGGCCTAATCCGCATTTTGAAATGGAAATCCCGTTTTTTTTCCATCCATAATATAGATGAAACTATTTTGTTTTATTCATGACCGTCACAAAGTGGAAATTAGTTATGACCGTCATTATGCAACTGTATAGATGGTTTGACAACAATTTGGTTACAAATGATTTGTGACAATCATTTGTAGTAAGAAAATTTGTGCGTCACATGACCGTCACAAGACCGTCATTTTTTGGTCATATGACGCGATATAAAAAAGACGGTTATTTTGCATCTCTATATCTGGTACAAGGCGGATATATTCAAGATATAATTCCGGCAAAATCACTATATCTCACTTATAAGTTTTGGCTTATATTTTTTTCTAAGCGGGTTGTGTTGCACTTCTGAATGGAAGGTTCATAATCGTTCATATTTAGCGTTAGTCTGGTCACCACATGCGACGATGCGCCTTGGTCACTTCCGCAGGCATTCGCCGACGCGTTATTCAGACGCCAGCGTTGCCAAATTCACTCTATACTGACCAGGCGCGTTTAGCGAGTTTCCGGCAACGTCGTATAATGGGTCATTTCATTTAAGGGGAAACGAAACCCCTCGGTCTATATGAACTTTTAGAATTGTGTTTTCTCCTACAATTATTAATTTTCATCTATAAAACTACTTTATCGTCTCGATCATTGCATTGTTGAGTCAATGAAGTAGTTTCATAAATAAAAAATAATAATTGCAGGAGAAAACACAATACTAAAAATTTTTATAGACAGGGATTCCGTTTCACCTTAAGAATATTGAATTACTTTGGCCATTTTTTCTCCAGTGAAATGCTTTTCTACTTTGGTAGTGGAACATTGGAGCTTTTATTTGAGCCCAAATTTGATCCTAAGTTTCCGGACATTCTACAATGATTTTATTCTTTAAACATTGCTGAATTTGAATCGCAGTATTGAACCGGTAGAGAACATTTAAAAATCTGGAAAAAAAATTAGAAAGTTTTCCTTTGGAGGAAGATTGATGAAATAATTTAAAAAGTGCAATCTTTTAAAATTACGAGCATTTTCTGTAAGTAATTCATAAACAATCAATTTTCCGCCGGAAAAATCATTTGTTCGGGATCGTAAGAGCTTTATTCATATTCACAATTTTGAAATGATTTCATGCATTCAGATTCATTTAGATTCTCCTATTCTTAACGTCAAAAATGTGAGATAATCTCATAATTCTAGGAATTAATCCTAATCAACTTTGTTCGAAGAAAACCTGAGTAAACGCAATATTAAGAAAGTAGAATTATTCTATTTCCATCTGACCAAAATAATTCGGACAATTGTGACTCGTTTATTCACGTTTCATAGAATGGTATTCAATTCTCTTTTGTTTGTTAGGCGGGTTTCATGAACATTCGACGTAAGACAATTGTACTCATGAAAACCGCCTTATTTTTCCCATTCTTTCGAGATTTTCGCCACGTTCGAGTTCTCATTTTCCATTCGAGGCATTGCCCACGCTTTTTTTTAGAAAGGAAAAGGGTTCGTTGTCTTCTATATTTCAGCAACTTTTTTTTCTCCGTGAAAGTCATGAAAGTTTTGTAAACTCAGTATTTCACGTGGTCACATATGAACCCCTCGGGGAATGGTAATGGTATTGTCTCATCATATCTCAGAACTCATTGAGATTTCTCGTTACATAAAGAGGGAAGAGACTGCCGAACAATCCGTAAATTATCGACCTTTTCTACTATTGGTGAGAAAATATCGTCACTAGGTTCGGGGTAACAGCTAGGATATGGTGGCTAAAATTAATGCATTGATCTTCGATAACGATGTCATTTCTCACGGTTGCGCTTGCGTAACTCTAAATCGGCGGAGTGGGTCCTTTTCACGTGGACGGTTGCAGGCCCGTTGCAGCTGAACTAGCCTGTGTCAAAGATTTTTGGTACTGATACCTCTCAAAAGGCCAAACTTTGAAGAATGGTTTTCGGCTGCGAAAATTGACACTTTCCTTGACGCACGAAATTTTATAGAAAACCGTGACGAATTCGATGGAAAATTTTATTGGATTTTTATTGAACTTGTATTTAAAATTTTGTCAGTTTTCGGCTGATTCTGTTGAAGAATTCCACACCTTCGCAGCGCTTTTAATACAGAGGAACCAATAGAAATTATTCTATAGAACAAATCAATAGAATTCCATCTTTTTACACAACTTTTTCTATCGAGACATTTTCTGTAGGATTTCCTCGACATAAATTTTCCAAGTGTTCTTTTCTATTTTACTTCCCTTTCCATTTAAAAAAATCGAACTAGCAATTGGAAAAATTTGAGCCGAGGATTTTATATAGAAAATACCTTAATACTATAGTTACGCAGAAAAATCCAGTGTTATTGATTTTTTCTATAGAATATTTTCCCTTGAACGGTCTTATTGAAAAAAACGCAGAGAATCTGCGGATATTTTAAATAGAATCGTCCAAAAACTAATAGAAAATTCAATAGAAATCCAATAGAATTTCTCAGCGAATGCGCTAGGTTCTTCTCCTCCTTCTTCTTCTATTTTTATGACACTGACTAAAATGTCTCGAGGCCGTTGGAATTCGCTAGATTTCTCTATGAAACTTTTTCGTACTAGTCCCCACCTCCCAGTCCACCCCCAAATAATCATCGAGTATTCCCCCATCCGCGGTATATCAGATAGTTTTATTGTCTTGTAAATAACTGTTTTCATGACTGAAGCCTGAGCGTTGAACCTGTCTCCTAGTGAGTGAGCCACGGAGGCTGAGTAGACCCACCTACATGCGCGCGCAGGTCATACCACTATTAGCAATCTACCGTTACAATAAATATAGCGAGAGAAAGATATAGATTTTTTTTTTCATCTCACCGACCTACAAATGACGAATTTACATCCAAGAGTGATGCATCCCTCCGAAAAAATGATGGAAGAGTTTCATTTCACATTTTTCCCTTTTTTTCTGGCAACTCAAAATTACAGTATCATACTCACAGGTGGATCGATGTTGGTATGCCTTGTTGAGGGACATATACATACATAGTATGCACGCTATCAACTGGCCAACCCGGTGTGGCAGTGTTACGGTAGGTTATGCCGTGCATTCCATTCGCGGTCAACGAACCGAGACAACACCAACACATTGGCAGGCTGAGGCTTATAAACCTTACTACCAGTTTCTCCGGGGAGTAACTCAGTTGATACTACCACACTGGGACCGAGTAAAATCCACCATTTTCCACGATCATCCGCCTGTTGATCCCTTCTACCAACACTGTCCCTTTTCATTTCCGCGTGGATTTGATGGATTGCGGGATGAGAGATTGAAGTGCATCTTTCATCGTCGTATTTTTGACGGTCATGACAACTGCTCTTGCGTTTTACTTCTGTCATTCGGAGGAAATGGAAAATTGATGGGTGCTGTCAGTTGCATTTTTGACTTTTTTTAGACTGTTTTCACTTTTTCCACATACTTTTGAGAGTTCTGAATAGCCCGTCGCTTAAATAGTTGGAATCAACGTTCACCCGGCTAAAAAATTCGATTTTGGCGAAAGTCGACTTTCCCCCTGGAAAAACCGGAAATCTGACCCTTTGGCCCCCGGTGAAAAATTTTTTTTTTCAGATTTCACTTTTCCACATACTTTTGAGAGTTCTGAATAGCCCGTCGCTTAAATAGTTGGAATCAACGTTCACCCGGCTAAAAAATTCGATTTTGGTGAAAGTCGACTTTCCCCCTGAAAAAATCCAAGATCTGACCCCTTTGGGTCCGGGTGAAAAATTTTTTTTTTCAGTTTTCACTTTTTCCACATACTTTTGAGAGTAGAGTGACTACCGTCACTTAAATAGTTGGAATCAACGTTCACCCGGCTAAAAAATTCGATTTTGGTGAAAGTCGACTTTCCCCCTGGAAAAATCCAAGATCTGACACTTTGGCCCTCGTGACCCTTGTGACCCTTTAACCGACTTTCTCCCTGAAAAAATCCCAGATCTGACACTTTGGCCGCCGGTGAAAAAATTTTTTTTTCAGTCTTCACTTTTTCCACATACTTTTGAGAGTTCTGAATAGCCCGTCGCTTAAATAGTTGGAATCAACGTTCACCCGGCTAAAAAATTCGATTTTGGCGAAAGTTGACTTTCCCCCTGGAAAAACCGGAAATCTGACCCTTTCGCTCCGTGTGAGAAAAAAACTTTTTCTGTTGTTCAAAACTTTTCTTCCTATAAATCTGTGATAGTTCCATTGAAATTCCAAGGAACTTCGTTATTGAAAATGGACATTCGATGCAAATTAATTCCGAAAATGAGAAAGTAAATTCTTGATTTGTCTCTCAATTGATAATTTATCGTAATTTGATACTGAATTTTTCCCATCCAGGTTTCAACCAATGGAATTGCATCATTCGACATCACGTAGTTCAACCGATATGATTTTCAACTGAATATTCCCCTTTCAGTTAAAAATCCAAGTCAATTGTGCAACTCTTGTCCTCCTTTTGCTCCAAAAATTCGAATTCCGTTAAATTTTCAGTAAAATTGAAAATTTTATAATTTTCTTCTTCTCGAATTCGAATTCAAGGTCTCTCTCCGGAAAATTGCTAGAGAACTATCCGTGAAATTTCAATTTTTTTTCAACAATGTAAAATAGGATAGAGAGGAACAAAATTATAAAAGTTTCACTTCCACTGCAAGAAGAGTCTCCCTGCGGGCCTCGGTGAAAGTTTCTTCATAATGAGAATGCTATCCACTGGCATTTTGGAGGACTTACTCGAGTACATAATAGTATATTGTGTTAAAAGTGCGGAGAGTTGGATATTTTAACGCACGGTTATTGCAACCATTGGATCGCACGTTAATTTTCCAAAAATTCCAGAGAAATAAAATTGAAAAAATTACTTGCAGAAGCTTTTTCCCACGCACGAAAAAAAAATCATTAAAAAACCTCGTGAATTTCATAGAAAGCCTTCCTGTGCGTTTTTTTTAGTGAAAATGCCCGATAGAAATTTATTTTATAGAAAAAATCAGTAGAATTTTATATGTCCCACCATTCTCTGTAGAAATTTCTCGACATTAATTTTCCATGTTTTTATCCACCCTATTTTTCTTTTTTTTCATTACATAAAGATTATTTCATTTTTTATTAAAAATGTCGTTATGTGGATTGGGGAAGATTCTTGTACACTGTTAGAAAATTGCTTCTGAAATTTCAAGTAAAAAATTTTGAAATTTTTAACAATCACTCAATTAATTTTTCACAACGGATAGGTTCCAGGTTCGATTCCTGGCCGGGTAGAATGGTGAGATCTAACCATTTTTAAAGTCTTGATCAATCGCCATATAGTCTCATCAGACTCGAAGCGATATAAAATAAGCATAAAAAAAAAAAGATATGATGTTGGCAATGAATGAGAGGGAAAAGGGAAAAGTGATAGGANAATGAAATTTCAACTTTCAGGGCTACATGATAATGAAAATTATTGAATAATTTGAAAATTCTAGATGTCATGGAAATATCAGTGATAATATAACCACGAAAACCCAATTGTCCTGATATTCCAACCTAAATGAGAGATTCCACGAACGATTTGATGTTAAATTGAATTCAAATTCACAGCATTGACAATTCAAGTTCGACTTGCTTAATTTACAAAAAAATTCCAACAGTGTTTACTTGAAAAACTAAATATTAAGTAGTTTAACCCAATTATTAAAATAAAATAAAATAATAGAATAAATAAATAGAAAGAGAATTATTTTGATTAAACTAGAAAAACAGAATAAATAGTGTAATTCATTCATTTAATTCAAATAAACAATTTCTCATCATGTATCCCATCTCATTCATTCGTATCTCAATTTATATTTCTGAAAGGGAAAGAAGGTACTCATTTATAGATCCTAAGCATTCTACCATAGCATTCAGCCATGATTTGAAATGCACAATTAGGTAATTCTCCGTTAGTGAGTGTGTAGTTCCTTTCCATAAATCTCTCTAATGCATGGATTTAACGATTTTTTTTGCAGAGGTGGCAGCGAAGGTGGTTCGTGTTATACGATGACGGAGAGCTGACATACTCACTTGATGAACACGTAAGTGAACGATAACTGCCCTTAATTAATTCATTACACATGACACACTTAGCAGTGCCACTGGGTTTGTCGTAATCCCCGTTTAGCGGTTCGATAATGAAGCATGTGTGGCAGGAGGAAAACTGCTCACATCTGCGTTATTCAGTAATGTTGACTCAAGTGTTGCAATGAAAAAATGAGTACAGTCGAATTTCTATATGAAGACCTCGGAAAGAATGGGCCTCATAAGCAAAAATGTTTCCTCAATTGTGCCAAACTCTCGTATTTCCTGATGTTCTATCCCCCCCCCCTCCCTCTCCCCTATATTTTCCTTCCGTGTTGGGTAAATGATATTGTTATGCCCCTCATAAAAATGAAACGAGAAATATCGACGAAACATCACGAATTACGTGTTCCAGCCCGAGACAGTACCGCAAGCGAGAATTGACATGACACGGGTACTAGAAGTAGCTGCTGCCGACGATGTGACTGGCCATCCCAATAGCCTTGCAATTACATCACCTGACGGTGTAACATTTATCAAAGGAACTTGCAGGGAAGAGACGAGGTGGTGGGGGGATGTGTTGCAAGTTTACTCCAGGAATAAGGTATATGATTCAAATCAGGTATCATCCTCCCACAATTGATTTCAAGTCCGTGTGTCAATTTGGGCATTGTTAATTAATAATTTAGGGGACTTGGCTAGAGGTCAGGAAAGTGAATGAATAGCATTCATTTTTCATTTATAATCTACAAGATCTATGCGCGCGCTGATCTATTCATTTGTTGAAATGAAGAAATGGAATTCATTGAATTTCATTTTCTCATGAATACCTTGCAAATATTGATAATGAATCAAAGAGAATTCGACTAATGATTGAGGTGAATAGCGAAGTAGAGTAAAAGAATCTATAAAGAATTTTTCATTTTCAATTATCAATTTTCAATTATTTTTAATTATCTTCAATTTTTTAAAATAATCGGTCTCCATAAAAGGACAGAATTTATTAATTTCACCGATGATATATATANTATATATATACATATATACATATATATATATATGACGTGAAAAAAAAATTTACCACTGAAGAATTTGAAATTATTATTATTAATTATATATTGAAAATGCCGCGTGTTTTTTTTTTTGTGAATAATTTCGTGTCACCAATGATTGACCAATCAGAATTAAGGATTAGCGATCAGGCAGTTTCGAGATATTTCGATATAAACAACTTTACTATCATTTGGACATTTTCAATTTTATCTTTCTCAAATCAGCTGGTGACCGCAGAGGCCAATAACAACGATATAATTGGATTTATATAGAACCATCTATGAGAAAATATTCTACAGAAAAAATCAATAGAATTGGATTTTTCTATACAATTTGTTCTATTAAGAGATTTTCTGGATAAATTCCTCGGCTCAATTTTTCCAAGTTTTTTTCTGGTTCTTTTAATGAAAAAAGAAAAAAACAGTGAAAACATAAGAAAATGGATATCGATGAATTTCTATAGAAAATTGTTGTATAGAAAGATGAAATTCTACTCATTTTTTCTATAAAATAATTTCCATTGGGCAACTCTCATAAAAAAAGCGTAGTAAAGCTGCGGAATTCTTCAATAGAATCCCCGAAAAATGAATGCAACTTTCAATAGAAATTCAATAAAATTTTCTATAGAGTTTTTCAAGTTTTTCCCTGAAATTTCCTCGGGCGTGATCTACTCGTGTCCGACGGAAATGAGAATAAATTATTTCCATTTCTATTTTCATTCCCATTGACGTCCTTTCCATAATTAATATGTCTTACATCAATGCCCCAACCCCTCAGCATTTCAATTCTCAACTGAGATCACTGTTGTGAAAATTACGCCTGTTGATAAATATTCTACCGGTTTCTACATACGCCCGTCAATGCAGAGAATGCAAACAGAACCATTTACTCATTCATTCATGATAAACATATTCTCCATAGAAATTCACAGACTCAAACTTTCCAAGTTTTTTTGTTTGATTCTTTGAAGGGAAGGACAAAAAAGGAAGCACAAATAAACGTGGAAAATTTATGACTAAGAATTTCTATAGAAAATATCCCAACGGAAATAGTTGCATAGAAAGATGAAATTCTACTGATTTTTTCTATAAAATAATTTCCATTGGGCAACTCTCATAAAAAAACCGTAGTAAAGCTGCGGAATTCTTCAATAGAATCCCCGAAAAATGAATGCAACTTTCAATAGAAAATCAATAAAATTTTCTATAGAGTTTTTCAAGTTTTTCCATGAAATTTCCTCGTGCGTGATCTACTCGTGTCCGACGGAAATGAGAATAAATTATTTCCATTTCTATTTCCATTCCCATTGACGTCCTTTCCATAATTGATATGTCTTACATTAATGCCCCAACCCCTCAGCCTTTCAATCCTCAATTGAGATCACTGTTGTGAAAATTATGCCTGTTGATAAACATTCTACAGGTTTCTGTGTATACGCCCGTCAATGTAGAAAGTGCAAACACGAGCATTAACACATTGATACCTACGCCTTTGAATAGCGTGACTGGTGTTCATCGGCTGCTTAGATAAAAAACACTCAACCACACATGTGTCAAATGTGTCGTATTTAGTATGTCCCTGGAAAAATATATATAATTGTAAGAAAGGTGACAGCGTTAGGAGGCCAAGGCGGTGTACGTGTCTATTACACGACCATTTTCTAAACAGATCATCGCCTTTTTCGTTAAACCCACGACTTCACCTTCTATTGCCTTATTACGCATATGCCAATAGTTCAATGAAATATCGATTGCATTTTGCTGGGAGGGGAGGCCTCTATTTAGAGTTGAACTTTGTCATGGGTCAACTTTTTAATGAGACGGTAGGAATGAACGGATGATAGTACAATCTTTCATTTTGTTATGATGTAAGAAATGGGAACAAAACAACACGTGCAAACAAATTTCATAGATAAAACTAGGGAATTCGCTAGGAAATTGTATAGAATTTCTATTGAACGTTCTAATAATTTTTGGCCGATTCTATTGAAAAAATTCTCGATAGAAATTTTCAGTGGAAAATATTCTATCGGAAAAATCAGTTGACTTCAGTTTTTCGTTGGAACTTATGCTGTTGAGATATTTTTTATAGAAATTCATTTTGTGATTTTTTTTTCAGTTTTTGCTTCCGCATGGAAGCTTTGCAATCGCTCAAGTTAACGTTTCCAATTTTTTGTGTTAGGGTAACTAAATATGATTTAAAAAGCTCCAATTTTCGATTTTTAGATGGTGTCGGTATGCATGCATGTATGTACGTAGTCTTCTTTCTTCATTTTTTTGAAAATTTTCTTATAAAGAATCAATTGAATTTCAATTGAATTTCATGATTTTTTTCATGAACATAGACTTTAATACGCTGTACACTGTTAAAAATTTTCGTCCGAGTTTTCCATGCCAAATTCGGGAATTTTTTATCGTGTTCAAGTTCCACTGAAATTTCAGGAAATCTTGTTATTGTACTGCTCCAGCGCGCTGTAATTGTAACAATCATAATTCAAAATCTCTAAATTAAATTAATTATGAATTAAATTTGCCGCCTCAGACGACTGGAACCAATGAGGAATAAGCGTGACAGACTTGCGAGATATCGGTAGTTATCGACTTTAAGTGTATGTTCTTTTTAGAATAGGAAATCTCTATCTCTATTAAACTCAGGTACCAGTCTATTATATTGATCACTTATTCAGATTGATTCATGGTCCCGACTAACTTCTGACAAAACCTGGGTTAAACTCTAATTAAATCTTGAATAAACCTTGATTAAATTACGGCAAATTCTTGAGAGGATCTACATGTAGAATCATTTGACAGAACGAAATAATACGCAAAATTTTGATGACATTTCAATTGATGATAGCGCTATGAAATGAAAAAATATAAGAAGAGAATAGCGAAATAAGAATAAAAAAAGGGATTCCTTTCGGAAGCAAATTGCTAATTTATTAGCAACAATAACAATACTCGTTTATAAAAAAATACAATTGTTCACTTGTTTTTAATTTTTTTTTATTGAAAGCAAAGGAAAATAGGGCGCAAAAAAATGAAAAAAAATCATATCGAGGAATTTCTACAGAAAACGTCTCAACAGAAAAAGTTTTACAGAAAGATGAAATTCCGCTAATAATTTTCTATAAAATAGTTTTTATTGGACATGTTTCGTGAAAAAGACGCGGAGCAAAGCCGCGAAATTTTTCAATAGAACCGCCAAAAAAAAGAATTTTTTCTCGATTTAACAACATTTCTCCATCGATTTTTTCGTCCCCGAATATCCATAACATGACTTATACAACTCGCGAGGAGGATATGCCCCATCACTTACTTCCTCCCATAAAAAAAATCCGACCATAATTCTAATTACAGGGAAGGCACAAGCGAAACGCCACATTTCCCGGAGGACAAACGACGATCCTGCAGGTGTCGTCGTCGATAAGAAGCAACACTCCGGATCCCTTGCGACCGCGATTCAACAGCTGTCGATCGGAAAGCAGAAGTTCAACAGCCTGGTCAGCCGAGGTATCCAATCACAGTCCAAGTGGTTCAGTTTCACCAAGTGAACCGTACGTATCCAGCAATAACAGAGCCTCATCCATCTCGTGCATAAGTGAGAATGGAAATTCATTATCGAGAACGAGTATGGTCTCACCGGTGAGAAGTGCAAGCCTTGAGAACGGAAGTGTTTATAATTACCCTGGTGCACCATCGGTAACAGTCAATGGTACCATTGTACAGCGATCGGGAGGATCGAGTGTTGGTGCATCAAGTGGTGTCATGAGTTCTGAGAAAGCCTCGATTTTACCTGGTACAAATGATACCAGATCTTATCTGGATCATCCAGCGAGCTCTGCATCACCACCAACGCGGGACAAATTACGCGCCGAGGATAAAGCAAGACGACGAATGAATCAGCAGACTGAAAGACCATCGACTGGCATTGATGCAACGGAAAAACTAGGTCAGTTGGCGGTTTTTGCATTGTTTTTGGCAAAGGGCCTCGGGAGTGAAACGAAATTACTCAAATGCGGGAAAAACTTTGCGCTGTGAATTTTTCCAATTCTCATCCAAAAGGGGACGAAAGAATGTGAAAAATTGCTTGAAAAATTTGTTCCTTCTGTAGGAATTGGGTGAACGGAGTTAAGTTCCGATGTCCCCTCAAAAAAACACGTGTAATTTCCCTGAAAAATATTAAATCATACACATATTTGAACACAGAATCAATTCACCTTTATTGAATGTGAAATAACAACTGATCTGATTAAGAATTAAATCGAAAAAAAACTCGAAACGAAAATTAAGTTCAAAGGGAAGAGTTCGCTGAGGAAAAATTGACGAGGAAAAAGTTTTCGGGAATTTTTCAACGGGGAAAAAAACACTGGAGAAAATTCTAAATGGGAAAAATTACAGAGGGAAATAAATTTCCGGGATTTTTTCAATGGGAAAGAAACTCCGGCGACCGATTTTTTCAGATAAAATGACAAAATTTTCCATTATCGAAATAATTTTATTTCGACAAGATGTCAAAAATCAACCCATTCTGTTCTATTTCTTAGTATATCCGACACCCTCATAAAATCCTAACGGAACCGTCAGCCTCAGCTATTCAATACCCCGGCGCCGTATCTCCATTTCTCCTCAATATTTACATGAATCAGCACATCCTAAAGAATTCATCGTCGAAGCCTTCACCGCGGTTACGTTACTGTTATTAAAGAATCGATTTGTATTCTAGTGCCACAAAGGTTCCTATCAAATACTCCACAAAAGCCATTTCCCCCAGGTGTGAGTCAGTGGTCGATCGATAATCGATGCAATTAACCCGTACACAGGAGAGCAGCCATTAATTTCCCTCCAACAAAGTATTCCTAGAAACTTTTTAATGATTCCAGATGACGAGGCGTGTAGAAGAATCTTAGAGGAGGATGAATGCTAGATACATAAAATTTTGACCCTTATGATCTTGACCCTTGGGACCCATATCAAACTTCCGATACTTGTTCATGACAGCGATTCGACTTTTACCTCCACAAATACTAGATATATAACATTCTGACCCTTATGATCTTGACCCTTAAGACCCTTATCAAACTTCCGACACTTATTCACGACAGCGATTTGACTTTTACCTCCGCAAATGATAGATATATAAAATTCTGACCCTTATGATCTTGACCCTTAGGACCCTTATCAAACTCCCGACACTTATTCACGACAGCGATTTGATTTTTACCTCCGCAAATGATAGATATATGAAATTCTGACCCTTATGATCTTAACCCTTAAGACCCTTATCAAACTTCCGACACTTATTCATGACAGTGATTCGGCTTTTACCTCCGCAAATCCTAGATATATAATATTCTGATCCTTATGATCTTGACCCTTGGTACCCATATCAAACTTCCGATACTTGTTCATCACAGCGATTCGCCTTTTACCTCCACAAATACTAGATAGATAAAATTCTGACCCTTATGATCTTGACCCTTGGGACCTATATCAAACTTCCGATACTAATTCATGACAGCAATTCGACTTTTACCTCCACAAATACTACATATATAAAATTCTGACCCTTATGATCTTGACCCTTGGTACCCATATCAAACTTCCGATACTTGTTCATGACAGCGATTCGCCTTTTACCTCCACAAATACTAGATATATAACATTCTGACCCTTATGATCTTGACCCTTAAGACCCTTATCAAACTTCCGACACTTATTCACGACAGCGATTTGACTTTTACCTCCGCAAATGATAGATATATAAAATTCTGACCCTTATGATCTTGACCCTTAAGACCCTTATCAAACTCCCGATACTTATTCACGACAGCAATTTGACTTTTATCTCCGCAAGTCCTAGATATATAAAATTCTGACCCTTATGATTTTGAGCCTTAGGACTTTTATCAAACTTCCGACACTTATTCATGACAGCAATTCGACTTTTACCTCCACAAATACTACATATATAAAATTCTGACCCTTATGATCTTGACCCTTGGGACCCATATCAAACTTCCGATACTTGTTCATGACAGTAATTCGACTTTTACCTCCACAAATACTAGATATATAATATTCTGACGCTTATGATCTTGACCCTTATCAAACTTCCAACACTTCTTCATGACAGCGATGCGATTTTTACCTCCACAAATGCTGGATATGTAAGATTCTGACCCTTAGGCTCCTTACGACCCTGATGAATCTCATCCAATTCCTGACCCTTACTAGTGACCGATACGTAGCTCTGATTTCTGATAATCGGTAAAATTAACCCGTACACAGAGAAAGCAGTCATTAATTTTCCTCCAACAAACTTTTCCTAGAAACTCCTTAATAATTCCAGATGACGAGGCGTGTAGAAGAATCTTACTGGAACATGAGCGTGAACGTGAGGGTAAATTGCGTGACATAGCTGTCTCCCTTACGCAACCGCGAGTCCGCCGAACGAAGCCAAGGAACTCCGAGCCAACTAGGGACGTTGTGGATAACGTCAATACCCCGCATCAGGATAAACTCGTCAGAGGTGATCCTGATGGCTGTGGACTCGACATTTCGGGGATTAGGTACTCACCAATATCAGAATTGAGGGTAGATCTACCTGCTGAGGATCTCCTCAACATCAAGAAGGGATGGCTTATGAAGCAAGGGCTCAATAAGGAGTGGAGCAAACACTGGTTTGTCCTTCGTGGATGTGGACTCATGTATTACAGAGATCCTACCACTGAAGACAAAGGCATCATGGATGGTGTTATAGATCTGAATACCGTTACAGCTGTATTACCGGTGCAAGTGGCGAGGAATTATGGATTTCAAACTGTGGTAATTATAACTTTGTTGGTGGTTTTATATTCTTTTTCTTGGGTGCATGATGATAACGGAGCATGACTTGGCTATATGATGCGGTTACTTGCTGGTGTTGGAGATATTAATGTAGTGGAATTATAGGAAACAAGCTTATTGCTGCCAAAAACACGCAGTCGTCATGGTTTTTCTCAAACGAAGTGCGTTTTTATCATGGAATAACGTTATACTTTGATGAATTATTCGATTGTCTAGACGTGGGATAGTCGCGGTACAACAGTATTTTCCGCCGTAACAGCTGGAATACGATCGAGTTGGGTGTCAGCGATACGCCGTGCAGCTAATCTATCTGATTCCGATGACGTAATTGTGGACAACCATATTCTATGTCATGGAAATCAGCAGCAGGATTCCAGCAAGAGTCAATCACCCACTGCGTAAGCGAACCTCTTTTTGTTTCATTCTGGAATACCGGGAGTGATCAATTAGGAGACATTTTAGTGTGAGACTTGAGACTTGAATGATTTATCAATGAAGATAATTGAATTATAACTTTGGAATCGAAAGCGTGAAATTCGGACTCAAACGCCATCCAATTATCATATGGATAACATTAAGCCCCCTAGGCTTCAACCTCGAGACGATTGTGTTTTTTTTATAGAGACGAAATATTGTTACACAAGAGTCTAATATACGTTGATGCTTTGATGTAGAACTATCTCTACAGATGATATTCATGGATTAATGAAAAATATAATTGGCCTCCGCTTAAAAAATTATGAGAGAAAACTTCAAAACTGAAAAATGAAGGAAGTTAAAACTCCCTGTGACCTTCATATAAATCTCTCTTAATTGATGAGCTAATTGATCTTCATGACCCTTGTAACCCTTATGATCTTGACCATTGAGAACCTTCCCAAATTTCCAACCCTTGCTGGCAATAAATATCTTTGATTTCTAGAAATACTAGATACATAAGATTCTGACCGCTGTCACTATCATTTCCACCTCATCCTCCTGAATAACTCTTCCCCCCTCACAATTTCAGATCCATGACCGAACGCGAGGGTGACCCAGTCATCCCCTCGTCAATGCCCCTGACGCCCCGATCAGTCCTATTCTCTTCCGACGAAGAATATAGAACTGCCTCAGAGGGTGGCAGACGTGAATCCGGTGACTGGTCAGAGATCCCAGTGACCCCACCCCTCACCAGAAACCGCGACTGGCCCTTAAAGGTCACCAACTGGTCGGACGTGTCAACCCTCGAGTGGTCCGAGCTACCGCCATCGCCCCCTCTAACGCGAACCGCATTGTCCCGAGTCAAGGCGCGATCTCGCTCAAACTCCCGAACTCGAGTTTACAAACGCACTAGAAGCTCTCCCCCAAGCTCTCGTCGTAGCACCCTAGACAGCGTGCACTCTGAAGACTTGATGATGGCTTGTTGTGAACTCGACGAAGAGCAACACAACCTAGAGCCACCTAACGAAACCCCGTTGATAGTCGAGCTCCTTGAGAGCCAAGTCACCATCTTTAAGGATCAACTCGCCCAGAATGATCACCCAACTAGTCTCCTAGTCATAATTGATCGTCAGAAGAACGAACTCGCGTCTTTGAAGTCTCAATTCCACGCGGCTAGATCAGAATTGTCGAACGCGGAGAAAGAGCTTGCGCGATTGAGGCAGTATCGAGCGGAAGCTGCAATTAGAGAGAGTCGAATAGAAGAACTGCTCAATACAGTCCAGGGGACAGAGCAACAGCGAAAAAAGGACGTCGAGGATTTTGACAAGATGAAGAAGCTTGTCTCGAGGGAGAAAGACGTCATTGAGTGTAAATTACTCGAGACGGAAGCTATTCTGAGAGAAACGACTGAGAGGTGTGAAATGCTGTCGAAGGAGTTGTCCTCGAGTCATCTGACTGTCGAGTGTCTCCAGAAAGAAATCACGTTATTGAGTGGGAAGTTGTCTCAAGGGATCGAAGAGAACGACAGAATCTACGAGAGGATCAGAGAATTGGAGGGAAAGAATAGTCTGTCAGTCTCTCGAGAGCGCGGCAAGAGCTTCGATTCCTTGAGCGATCTGACTAATATCGATCTCGATCTCGATTTAAGTGGCTTCGATAAAGAGAGGATCATGGAGGAGTTTGATGAGCTGAGAGGTAGATTCGAGAAGGCAGTTCTGGAGATCAGGGCAATGCGCAAAGAACTCCGAGAAGCTCATGCTGCTCAAGACGCAGCGGAGCTCGAACTATTTGCTCACAGACAGGATAACGCACGGATTAAGGAGACGAATCAGGCTCAGGTTCAGCTGATGGCAGCCAGGATACAAGACCTGACGAACAAGCTGGCAACTAGTGAGAAGCAGATGAGACAGCTCAAGCAGAAATTAACGAAGACTGAGGGCAGGGACAAGAGAAGATCTCTATCGTTGAAAGGTCGTGAGTCCTTCTCAATTTCCCAGGAAGTTGAGGATAAGCTTCTCGAGTTAGAGAACAAGATCATTGCGATCGAGAAGAACCAAGTGCTGCCGGCACTGATGACGACCTCGAAGGAGTACCAAACGAGTATGAAGAAGGAACATAAACGAGAACACAAGAGTCTCGACAGAACGAGACTCAGACGAAAGTCCCTGGACAGCGCGACGAGTTCGGAGCCCATGAAGGTTCTAATTCGCCTGACTACACTTGAGAGAAAAGTCGCTAGTGTTGAGAGGGAGAGTCCTCAGAGTGATGTTGATAAAGACTCGAGTGAGCACAGCGAGGCGAGCGCCACCTCGAGTACGGAAGTGTCTATGGAGCTATTGATGAGACTCAAGAAGCTTGAGAAAGCTGTTGGAAAATCGAAAAGATGTCTAGAGAAATGTTTGAGATCCAGTCAAATCGAGGAGAAAGCTGAGAGATGCCTACGGGAAGTCGACCACATCCTCGATTCCTGCTTCGAGCTGAAGAACATCCAGTCATCGAGTCCAACAGTTCCGGAAGCGATCAATGGTGTAGTCTCGAAATTCGAGAAGGCATTAACCGAAAAGGTGAAGGAACTCACGTGTCGAAGAAGAAAGCTGCAGGAAACAGGAGAACTCAATGACTCCGCGAAGATGCGATTGTTGGCCGAGAGGATAGCTTTCGAATTCGTCATAATCCGACAGCTGAAGCATGCAGTTATCGGAGATAAGTCGATCAATCGTAGCAGTTTCCTAGGGGAGTTGGTTGAGACTAGTCAATTAATATCAGCACTCAAATCCAAGATCGATGGATCTTCGAAGAAGTACCAGAATGTGAACTATTGTGTGCAATATCTGACGAATGTTCTGGTGGAGAAATCAGTCCTCATGTCTGGAAAGTCTGAGAAATCTGATGCCTTCGGATTTGAAGGAACTTCCACAGCTCAATGCAGAGAATTTCTCTCGCAACAACAGAATCAAGTGGAGGGTTTGATGCAGAAATACAAAGAAACCAAATTGAAGGAATTGGCGGAAGCTCTTGCGGCTGACTCCCTGCGTCCGTCATCTTCGAAATCTCTGCATGAAGACAAGAGAATTCACGAGGCATGGGGACTAGCTCAGGAAATCGTCGACAAGGAGCTACGTCAGACTGAAGTGTCTCACGTGATGCTGAGATGTGCTCAAATGTACGAACAGAATATTCCGTCAATCGCGGATATGAGTCTGAATTTCGAACCGTCAGAGGGGGTTAATTTGGAATCTTGGAGTGATCAAGTGCAGACGAAACTTCTTCGGGAAATGGAGACAGCCGTCGAAGTACTCAATTCGTTATACAATAAATCTCTCAAAGACATGAAGCAGATGAAGTCGTCTGAGTTTAACTACGACTTACAACAATTGTTGAGGGAATTCGCCGGAATTGTCGCGCAAAAAGCACTCATTGACGCAAGAATCTCACTATTGCTCAATGATGAAGTCGATAGAATCGGATCTAGACGGAATCCAAATGAGGAAACGCTTGTTGGAAGTGAAAGTCCCCCCCTGGCGTTCATCGCCGAAGATATTGAAAATTCGATGTTCAGTCTGGAATATCCTCAGTCCTACGAACAATTCTCGGAATGTGAGGAAGCATCGAACACTTCTCAGACGTCTAAAGACTTCGGAACCGTCAAGCAGTCATTGCGCTTCTTGGAGGAAGATTTGAAGGAATTGGGAATATCTTTGAGGGATAAATTGCGGATAGCAAGTACTGAGGGATCTTCGTCGCCCGTGAAATTCCACAGATCGCTGACTGATTGGTCCGGGGTTTATGATAAATGTCGAGAGCTTCGTGAGCACATCAAAGGATTGAACGATTACATCAAGGGTTTTGCGTGTAAACAGTGTGATGTTCTTCAGAAGTCGATAAAGAGTATTAATATGGACCATGCGGAAGAATTGAAGTTACTGAAGATGAATCAGGAGAAGGATCTCATGGAGATGAAGAGTGAGATGGAGAATCAGAGGAGTTCTTTGTCATCGCAGTATGAGCAGGAGGCGGCGAGTCTGCGAGAGCGTGCGAGAAAACTCGAGCAGAGACTGAATTTCATGGATTCTGAGCACTCGGCGCACATCAACGAGCTCAGGGCGGCTTATCAGAGGTCCATCAGTGCGGAATTGGACACGGATGTGGAGACGAGGAGACGTTACAAGGAGGAGATCAAGCAGTTGAGAGCACTTTGTGAGAAGGGACTGATGGCCATGGAGAACTCGCACAGGAGGATCATAGCAGAGATGGAGGAGAAGCACAGACAGGAGTTGGAAAATCTCAGGGTGGAGAAGGAACAGGCCCTCTCTGAGGAGACACAGGCGACGCTGGCGGCTCTCGATGCCATGAGGAAGGCTCATGAGCACGAGGTGAAGAAGGAAATCACCAAGTTCAAGCAGGAATTTCTGAAGCAAATGCAGGCCAGAGAGGATATTGGGTTACTTCATAGAGAACATGAGTAAGTAGATGATTTCTTTACTAGCGATTTTTTAGGTTTGGACCTGTATTCAAGTCTGGTTCAATATTTTGGGTGAAATCGATATTTACATTGTGGCGTGGATTTCAGTTTAGGGCCGCACCTAATTTTGGGTCTGTGCCTAAATTTAATCAAGGACCCAAATTTAAGGGAAATAAATTCAAATTACCGACGTCCAGTGGTCGCGGTCGTTAAATCGTTAGTTTGGCTTGACGACTGGACGGTCATGGGTTCGAATCCCAGCCGGGGTGGAATTTTTAACTTCTGGTCAAGAAGGGTAAAAGGAAAAAAAAAGCAATGTAAAAAAAGTAATTGTATAAGATCTCACCGACAGTGTAAATAACCCTTATATGGGTTCTATACTATAAACCAATTAAAAAAAAAAAAAAAAAAAAAAAAAAAAAAAAAAAAAAAAAAAAAAAAAAAAAAAAAAAAAAAAAAAAAAAAAAAAAAAAAACTGATCACAGGGGTTGGGGATTCCACTGAATGTCTGAATCTAAATTTAAAGATAAAATTCAGGTATCAATTAAAATTTTGCCACATCCTTCTAGGGAAGAAATGGAGGAAATAAAGCAAGAAATTCTCTCACTCTCCGCGAAATACTCATCAAAATGCGTGGAATCAGCTGCTCTAGAGGAAAAAGTCGGTTCCCTCACGAAACAAGTTGCTCAAGCCAAACAACACATAATGCAACTTGACGCTAGGAACAAGCAGCTTCGAGCTCACTTGGTACTCGAGGCTAACGAAGGTGGGATTGCAGAACAGAGGGAAGAAATCCACAGACTACAGCACCAATTGAAGGTATGCCCAATTTATTCTCTTATTTTTGACCATCAATAATTAACAAGAAAAGTTGTTGGATAATCTGACTGACGCCCTCTCCAGTAAAATTATCTTGTACTTATTCGTTAAATCAAATAATCTATCATCCACCCATCACACTCGTATAATTTTTTTTATTATTTTTGCAATTTGTTTTTTCCGTATCATTTTCACTAACAGCATGGGGAAGCGCTCACAGTCATATCCAAATCCACCTATTCACCTTATCATAGTAGTCCGGAGACTGCTGTTAAAAGAGAAAAAAGCACTGAAGCCATGGCACAACAGCCCCAAAGAATCAGCAATGCACAAAAATTGAAAAACACAGGGGATGAATCACCAAGTGCACAGTATCTCTGGGATAGCATTAAACCGAGGAGCAGTCACCAACATCAATATCAAGGTATAGAGATGAATGGATGCTGATAAGGGAATTATTATGCAACTGGTGGAGGATCAATGAAAGCTTTTGGATTTTCATCAGTCCTTTCTTCCCATTTTCCTATTTCAATTACGTTTTTACTTTTTTTAACCACACCCTTATTTCGGGGGGGGGGCTAGCCCCCCCTCCCGCTCATCTAACGCGTGGAGGATTAATGAATGCTTTATGATATTCATCAGTTCTTTTCCACCCATTTTGTTATTTCAACTACTCTTTCAGTATTTTTAAATGGGGGGGGGGTTAGCCCCCCTTATGCAACTGTCGGAGGATCCAAGAAAACTTTAGGATCTTCATCAGTCCTTTTCCCCCATTGCCTCATTCCAATTACGTTTTTACTATTTTTGAATAGGGAGCTATACCCCCGCTCCAGGGGGCCTTCGCCCCTCTCATGCAACTGGTAAAGGATTAATGAAAGCTTTAAGATTCCCGTACATCCTTCCTCTCCCTTTAATTATTCTAATTGCATTTTTATTATGACTCACTGGGGGGCTATGCCCCCTGCTCCAGGGGGCCTTCGCCCCTCTCATGCAACTGGTAAAGAATTCATGAAAGCTTTAGTATTTCCATCAGTTCTTATGTCCATTGGCTTATTCCAATCACATTTTTACTATTATCGTCGGGGGGGCTATGCCCCCTGCCCCAAGTTGGCTTCGCCCCCTCTCGTGCAACTGGTAAAGGATTAATGAAAGCTTTAAGATTCCCGTACATCCTTCCTCTCCCTTTAATTATTCTAATTGCATTTTTATTATGACTCACTGGGGGGCTATGCCCCCTGCTCCAGGGGGCCTTCGCCCCTCTCATGCAACTGGTAAAGAATTCATGAAAGCTTTAGTATTTCCATCAGTTCTTATGTCCATTGGCTTATTCCAATCACATTTTTACTATTATCGTCGGGGGGGCTATGCCCCCTGCCCCAAGTTGGCTTCGCCCCCTCTCGTGCAACTGGTAAAGGATTAATGAAAGCTTTAAGATTCCCGTACATCCTTCCTCTCCCTTTAATTATTCTAATTGCATTTTTATTATGACTCACTGGGGGGGGCTATGCCCCCTGCTCCAGGGGGCCTTCGGCCCTCTCATGCAACTGGCTAATGATTAAAGAAAGCTTTCCACTTTCCTATTCCAATTACTTTTTGACTATTTTCAATTAGCGGGCAACGACTCTACTCCGTGCCCCCCCCCCCCGCTCCCCC